CTCAAGTTATTTCAATATCATAACAATGTGAAATGTTAGCACAGAAGTGGGATGGCAGCTGATTTTATGAAAGCTCACTCGCTGAAACTACACATGACATTTCAAGCTGTGGCGTGGAGCTCTTCTATGACCAGGCAGCATCCCCTCACTGTATAAATAGCAACTAGCTATTGGTTTCTTACAACCAAACTAATGATGAAGATCAGCATTGTCCATTGCCCTATTATTCATGACTCAAAACAGAGAATTCTTCCTGTCTGTTGATTCCTTTTAGCTTATTTAAGATAAGCTCTGGGAAGGAAAGAGATCAAATGCAATATAACCTCCTAGAGGATCAGCTCCTTACTGCAGACATCCTTGACAACAACAGGAGCCTTTGCTTCAGCCAGATTGCAGCAGGTTCCAAATTACGTCCTATAAGGATTCCCACGCTGGTGGAGAACATCATGCAAACTTCTTCTTGGTGGCCGTGAACCTCTCCATGTACTAAAAGTCATGAAAGAAAAAATATATATATGTGCTGTTTCGGCAGGAGCAAATACTAACCTTTTTCATATGATTTTTTTTTCCATTTAGGTTTTTATTGGATATGGTCCCTCATTTCCTACAAAATCTACCTATTTTAAATGCAAATCTAAAGTACATAGTTTTGGGGTCTGTTAAGCTTTTCTTTTGATATTTTAATAGAAAACCTATCAAAAGACAAAGATGCTTTACACGTCTAGAGAAAAAGTCATCTTGGTACAATACGAGTGTATATACCAGTACCTCTTGGTACAAGAATTTGGCTGACTCTTAGAACTCACCTCCAGAATGGGAAACAGATCCTGTTGACAAATAGGATTATCCATGCAGCCTGTGGCTATAAACATTCACGTGGGTCACTTCACCATTCTCTTCTCGGGAGCAGTGACTAGAAATGCAGAAGTATATGAATACATACCTTCTCATAGCCTTCTAGTTCTCGAAGTTTCTTTATTTCAAAAAGGTTGCCTTCCACAGCAAGCAGACAGATCTGGGAATCACTGAGGATGCTCTGTGGAAGCATGCTGAGCTCAAGGCAGTTCTCTTCCAGGCGAAGAACTTTAAGGCGAGGACAGCAAGATATCTTTACTGAGATCTGAGATATCTATTTAACAACAAGAAAGAATAGGAAAAAGTATAAGCACTGTAATGGTTATTTTTTTACTAAATTAAAACAGAAAACCTTTACCTGACAATTTGTCCTAGTTCTCTTTTTACCGCCTCCATTTTCTTACTACCTACTCATTCCAGAAGCCTCTGTCATGTAGCATCTGTTACTCCTCCTCCACTTTTTTGGGGGGTGGGGAAGGAGGACTTGCTTTTAGTACCAGTGGCTTTTTGGAAATAAAATTTTCTGATAATAAAAGCACTACTTATTATAGGGGACTTGAGAGTCAAGTTTTTAAATTTAAAGAAAAGAACTGCAATCTACCAGCAATAAACATTTTGGTACATTCACTGCCAATCTTTTATGAGTATATAAATGCTTGATTGTACTATCCCTTCCTTGAAACTCCCTACTGTATCTAAGTACTGAGTTTTTCTAACTTTTGAATAATTCTTCATTTTTAACTTCTTTTTTTTTTTTTTGCTTCCTTTCTTGTTCCTATGGACATTTTTCAAGCAGAAGCCTCTATTATTTAATATTTGATCATCTGTCTAAACTTTCTCTTAGAAAGCTCATCCATTCATTCTTAAAGCCGTCATTTCTGTTAAGAATTCAAAATCTGTATCTACATTCAAACCTCTCACCTCTATTCCACTCCTCTCCAATATTTAGTACATTTCCATTTGCACCATCATAATCAACTTAGCATGTCTATTCTCCACAGCATCACTCTTTTTTCAGGCCCTCAAATTCAAAAACAAGCAAGTATTTTTAATTCATTCACCTCTTTGCCCATTAAATGCTCCAAGTCACCAAATATTTATTCCACCCAGTATCATCTCAGACTATCACCTGGAAACTTCTTAGAAGTGCAGACTCTCAAACCCCACCCCAGACCTACTGAATCAAAACATCGAGGGGTCAAGTGATCTCTTTTAACAAGCTCTCCTGGTTATTCCAAGGCACACTAAAATCTGAGAACCACTGGTAAAGGCATCAGCATAGGTGAATGTGGAATGAGTGCTCAACTAATACTTGTTGCTTAACAATTTTTTTCAAGTCGCCCCCCCCCGCCCCGCCCACAAAATAGTCCAAGAAGCTCAAGAACATTCAAGAATATTCATATAAATCCTACCGGGTTTGGCTCAGTGGATAGAGCGTTGGGTCCCAGGTTCCATTCCAGTCAAGGGCACATGCCTGGGTTGTGGGCTCGATCCCCAGTGTGGGGCGTGCAGGAGGCAGCCAATCATTGATTCTCTCTCATCATTGTTTCTTTCTCTCCCTCTCCCTTCCTCACTGAAATCAAAAATATATTTTAATAAAAGAATATTCATTTAAGGAAAAGAGGAGGCTAATATCTTCAAAGACAGACTGAATTTCATAAATAATTTAAGGTCATTACAATCTAGGATAATTTTGTCCCAATAAAACTTTATGCAATGATTGGAATAGTCTGTATCTGTGCTACCCAATATGGTAGCCCAGTGTCACACATGGTTTTTGAACACTTCAAATATGGCTTGTGGCAACTGAGGAACTGAATTTTGAATTCAAATGAATTTTAATAGCCACATGTGGCTAATGGTTACTGTATTGGACTGCAGATCTAGAAGTATAGATACTAGAAAAACTAAAGGCCACCCATCTCTCTCTGTTTAATGTTTTAACATCTGTGTCTTATGTCTAAACCAAAGATTGTTTTTCTAGTTATACATAATAACCAAAGAGCTTCCGAAGTAATGGAAACAAATTTCAAATATGACAAGCAAAGCTGTCCAACAAGGAAATGAGCTATCTCCAGAATGCCTATTGCTGATGGTTTCTTAGCAAAAGCAGAACACACATTGACAAAGATGTCCAGAAAAGGACAACGGATTACCTCAAATGTCTAACTCTGAGAACGTATGAGTATAAGCCTCTTTTCCACTCTATCTTTCTGACAGCTCCATATATATATATATACATATATATATATTATTGATTTCAGAGAGAAAGGGAGAGGGAGAGAGAGATACACCAATGATGAGAGAGAATCATTGATTGGCTGCCTCCTGCACTCGAGCCCACAACCCGGGCATGTGCCCTGACTGGGAATTGAACAGTGACCTCCTGGTCCATAGGTCGACACTCAACCACTGAGTCACGCTGGCTGGGCCTGACAGCTCCTTGTTAGATGACTGGAGACATGTCTGAAAAGCATCTGAAGAACTCTTCAAGGTTTGTGAGACAGTAGTTTAACTTTTGAAGTTAGCACCCCGTTACCCATCCCAACCTCTAAAATACCTACACAACCAACACAACCAGTGTGTCAACTCTCTCCACTTTGGGACTTTGGGCCTTGAAATTAGTCCAGCCCATAGAATATACTTCTCATCCAGCTTCTGATGCCCAGCTCCATGATTACAGTTAAGAGAAAAACAGATTATTCAGGATATATATTAGAAAGGAACCCTTAAGCTCTCGACCTGGTTCTGGTTGAGGTTGAGTTCGATGACCTGCAGCTCCCCCACTATGTCAGGTATGCTCCGAATCTGGTTCTTGGAGAGATCCACCACATCCAGGTGCTGCAGGTTACAAAGTTGGGGGGGTAGTGCTCGCAGCTGGTTCCCAGAGAGGCTCAGGGTCTTGAGGGCAGACAGTTGCCCAAAGGTAGACGGCAACTCTCTCAAGTGATTGTTGTTCAGGCTTAGCGTCTCCAGTTTTTTCAGATTGCATAACTCACCAGGAAGAACAGCTGGCAAAGAAAAAACACAGAAACCTGAATCTGATACAGCTGAAACCACCTCTGATGAAGTTTATAAAAGCTACATGGCAGCCTGGTATGCCTCTTGTTAATATACACAGAATTCCCACGTGTGCCATTTTTAAGTATTGCATTTTTACCAACATAGTCCTCAGAAAGGGAGAGTGCCATCAAAATGCAAGAAAGCGTGTATGCGTATAGTTTGTGCAGGAGCCTCCGCACAACCTGACAGCAATTTCGTGGCGTTTGGAAAGTCCCTCCCCTCCCATTGCCCCGTCCAAATCTCCCCAGTCCCAATCGTTTTACCACCAGAGGCGGCTTGTAGATGTAATTACAGGAGAGAGAAAACTTCAGGGACTCTGACATTCTCCTGCGCCTTGGGCAGCCGGGACGGTTTCATAACAAAACATTAGCTTGTAAGAGAACACCACCCTCCTTCACAGCCGACCAGTAGTAGCAAAAGCTACCCAGACGCAAGAGCCATACTCAGTTTGTTGTTGTTCAAGGAGAGGCTCTTGAGCAGCGTGAACTTCCCGATAATCAGAGGCGGCAGGCTCTCGATCTTGTTGTTGGATAAGTCGATGGTCCTGAGATTGCTCGTCAGCTTCTGTAACTCTGAAGGGAACTGGAGAAAAGGGGCTCACAGCGCGGAGAACCTCTCGCCGGTTAACTTCACCGCCCTCGCCACCCGTCTCCCGTGTAACCCCCAGTCCGGTCCCTCCCAGCCTCACTCACCTCGGTCAGCCCACGGTCCTTCAGCTGAAAGACCCCGGTTTTCTGCGCGGTTTCCACGTGAGCGCGGAGGGCACTGTTTCCCATCCTGGCGCCGCGGCTCGGGCCCCTGCAGGAAAGAAGTGCAGCTGTCACCGCGCGGTCCAGGCGGAATCCGGGCGAGGAAGACAGGGAAGGGCAGGCGGCCCGACCACCAGGCCCTGCCGCTGCAGCAGCCGCTCCGAGGCTAGACGCCTCCAGGAGCCCGCGAAGGACCTGGGAGCCCCGGCTGCTCCCCGTGCGGACTCCGGAGACGAC